GAAAAATAGCGAATTAAAAATTTCGAAAATAAAAATAACGAAACTAAATTATGGCGAAAAATAATATATCGAATGTTTAGGGGAAACTCTTGTTTTTATAGTTAATATTAAACAGAGAATAGGGGAAAACTATAGATAATAATATAATCTTTATTAGTCAGTCATTATTATTGTGACTCAAGGTAATATCCGTTATCGCTTTTATCGTGAATAGTGTACATCGTATACCTATCGTATCCTATACTATATGGACATTAAATAGTTTTGTACGACGTTCGACATCGTGACAATCGTTGACTAAGTGTTGTGCTTATTATTTTATTTCTTATATTCTATTTAAACTGTATTTTTTAAAAATTTGATTTTTAAGTTATGGAATTTATTAAATCTAATAAAAATAAACTTTTACTCGTGTATTATAGTTATGCTTATAGAGAGGAAAAAATATACAAGGAATCGAAGTATTGGAAATGTATAGATATGCAATGTAAAGGTCGATTAACAACTACAAGTGATAATAAAATTAAAAAAGAGCCTTCAGAGCATAACCACGTTCCAGATATATGCAAGTTAGAAGTAAAAAAAGAAGTCGAGAGAATGAAATCCCAATCATTGTCGTCACAAGATAACCCTCAACAAATAATCGCTTCATCGCAATTAAATCCAATGATATCAGGTGCATTACCCGAAATATCTAATTTAAAACACACGTTAAGAAGAGTACGACAACGTAATGATTGCGCACCGCCGAATCCTCAGTCACTTTTTAACCTCCAAATACCTGAAAGGTATACTTTAACTAAAGATGGAAAGCAATTCATGCAGTACGATAGCGGTCCATCAGATGAACGTATTTTAATATTTTTTACTAGACAAAATCTAGAATTAATGGGAAAATGTAATAATTGGTTCGTTGATGGTACATTTAAGTGCACTCCGACACTTTTTACTCAAATTTACACAATACATGTATTGACAACCAATTCGTTGATACCTGCTGTTTACGCTTTATTACCAAATAAATCACAAAAAACATATGTACACCTCCTTAATCAATTAAAAAAAATTAAATCAACTTTATCACCAAAATTAATTATGTCAGATTTTGAAATGGCATCAATTAATGCATTTAAAGAAGTATTTCCAAATGTAAAACAAAAAGGATGCCATTTCCATTTTTCCCAATGTATTTGGCGTAAAATACAACAAATTCAATATATGGCCCAAAAATATATATCAGATTCGACATTTGCATTACAGATACGGCTCTTATTAGCATTAGCATATGTACCAGAAAATCATGTGATAGATGCGTTTGAAGAATTAATAGATTCACAATACTACACAGATAACGAAAAAATTTTGCAACCACTTATTGACTACTTTGAAGACACCTGGGTAGGCCGTCCAATGGGTCGAAGAAAAGGTCGTAGATTACCAAAGTATTCAATAAGTTTATGGAATTGTTACGAATCAGCAAGTACTTTATTGCCAAGGACTAACAATGCAGTAGAGGGTTGGCATAGAGGTTTCAGTTCATTACTTGGTTAGTTTTTTAAAATATTTTATTAAATTTATAATTTAATTCAATGTATTTAATGTATCAATGTATAATGTAATATTAACTTTTTAAGGTGCATATCATCCAACATTATGGACATTTATCGATGTGTTAAAAGATCAACAACATTTAGAGGACATTAAACAGGAACAGTTCATTGCTGGTGCCAAAAAACATCAAAAAAAAAAATATAAAGATTGTTCAGAAAAAATACGTAATTTAACCTTATCCTACAATACTAACGACAACATTAATTATTTAAAAGGTATCGCTTACAACTTAACTTTACAAATGTAACTATGATTTTGTGAATATTTTTTTATATTATATTTTTATACTTGTACTTATTATAAAATATTTTTTCGCTATTTTTGATTTCGTAATTATATAAACTTTGCTTTTATTTTTTTCGCTATTTTGGTTTCGCTATTTTTCTTTTCATCTTTATTTTTTCGATATTTTGGCCTATAATCACTTTTTTATAATGTAAAAGTATAGTTTTTTTAATATATATATATATATATGTATGTGTGTGTGTGTGTGTGTGTGTGCGTGCGTGTACTGATTAAAATACGTAGTTGATAAAATTAATTTAAATTTTAAATTTTGAAATACAAAATAAAAATAATTTTTTTTTGAAAAACTTTTAGTGCAAATAATCTAAACTTTACTATATTTGCTTATCACTAAAATAAAAAAAATATATAGAATGTTAGTCTATATAATACTTGACATAGATACATAAAAATATTTATAACATAAATTCTAATTTCAATATATTATTATAGTGAAATTAATTTTATATAATATAAAAATACTTATAAAAAACAATTAACTAAATATATTAATTAAGTATTATATAATATTAGATATAAGTGTCAAAGAAAATATTTCTTTGATTAAATAATAAGCTTCAATTATTATTTCAATATATTAAAATAAAATTATAAAGAATTTCTAAAAAATTTGTTTAAATACTCAATAAACTATAGCCAACATGTTACATTTAGTATGGATTATAAATTCCAGTATTATATTATGATTTAAGGGATTATAGACTACAGGAATTGGAATTGAAATATTGATTTTATGCATTTAAAATGAGTACTCTGATTGCCCATTTCAACATTTTTTTTTTTTTTTTTTTTATCAAAAAATTCGAATATTCATATCATTTTTAGGTATGCTTTAAGTAACAAGTTGATGAAAGTTACATTATATAACAAAAATCACTTATAAAAAATAAATCATAATATCGCTTCTTTAATTAAAAAGCGAGTCAAAACTTGTGTCCTATTAATAGTTTTTATTATTGAAATTATTTAAATTAAAAATACAATAAAATCACATAAACATTTCAAAAATTATTGAATCACCAAGTGTTTATAATTTAATGACGTATTTATTAACAATTAAAATATATTTAAACTTCTTTGACTATTTAATAAATTGATTCTATAGTTTCAATTAATTTATTAAACTAATAATATTTTTATCATGTTTAAAATATAAAAATTAATTTTATGAAAAACCATGTATTGCATGGGATCAAAATCGTTATTATAATTAAGCGTATGAAAAATGTATGTTTACTTAAATATGATATAATTTACTTTATAAATTTTAATGATACTGTAGAATATTCTAAAAATTAATAATGAAAACTAACTATGTGTACAAGTAAAACAAATTAATTCTATCAAAATGTAAAACCCAAATTTCATCTAAGGTAATTTTCAAACGAAAAATAGAAATATGATGAACTCGGCATATTTTACAATGTACACTAAGTACTTGAAATTAATATTATAAAACTAAGGAACACTTAATTGCATGCGCCATCAACGTAATGATACGGCTATGAAAAAGTAACGTTAATTGTAATATTTGTTTGTGACCATGTATTTAATGAAGTTTAACTATTTTAGACAAAGGCAACTAAAACAGAAAACATCACAGTTACTCTTGGATGAAGGGTGAAGTTAGAGAAGTGCTGGCTTGGAAAGACCTAATCCTCCTACCATAGTTTGATTAAATTTATTATTAATGTAAGATATATTTTATTCAAGAAAAAACAGAACTTATGAAAAAATACACAGGTATATCTGTAAAGAGACTACTTAGAGAAAAGCAGAAGACTCCAAATAAGTTTATCAAGCTCTGCGTATGCACATTATGGTTTTATAAATGAATATCATATATATTTTCTAAGCCGCCAGAGCGAATAAAAGAAGAAATGAAATAATTGGATAATAATATTTCACGATACACCGGTGATAGTAAAATAAAATCTCACAATTCCTAAAATTACTATATAACAAAAAAAAAAAAACCCAACAGTAACTGTTCGCTTGTTAGTGACGTTTTTCGACAACCCCATCTTGTTATTCTGTGCGCTTCTTAGTTTTTTTTTTTTTTAATGTGGATGGATATGAATAAAAAAATGCATAAAGGTAAGACAAAATTATATTCTATAAGACACAATAAAACAGCTTTTGTTTCTCGTAACCTAACACCCTGGGTTATCTACTTAACTCGTAAAACTTGGAAAATAACGACTAACCCGTATTTTAATCGTAAATGGCACGTTTCAGTTTTTGGGAAATATGTAAAACCATTCAAACCGTGCAAAACGTACACTAGAATATAAAAGTTTTCTTCTTTTTCACCTTTAGGTGCCGAAAATAAGAGAATCGACGAATCATTCGCGTGAAATAACTCATTAATCAGATCATGTCTAATATTTATTCCTCCTTTCCGGTCTTTTTAAGGTTTCGTAAGCAAATATAGGCGGGAAAACAACCTACAGCCTACCCTCCGCTGGTTCACAACAAAATGTGACGTCAATACCCATCTGAAAACTTATTGGTTTATATTAACTGGGATAGGCAATAGTAAACTTGCGAGTCCAATAAATTGGCCATAAAACGTACGCCAACGTATATAATCCTGTACGATAAACCATTGTTACGCGGTGGACAAAAATGTTTATCAAAACGGAGTAAATGCAGTTCATGACCTCGAGCCACACCTCTATTAGTTATTAGAATATCTATGCACCTATATTGTATAATAATAAACCATCTTATAGTGCTGCTGCGATGTATATAGTTAAAGTAATTTTTATCCAAGCAACATACAAATATAAAATAATAAAATTCATTGCGAAAAATTTACGTACACCGCGTGGCGCGTTGCAATAGTTAACTATAATGAGCATACTATTAAACTTGACTTTGATTATTTTTTTTTAATGTTCAATACGGTTTATTGCCTATATTATTTAACATTAAATATAAATACTTCTGTAGAGTTGCATGTAATATTCAAAAAATTTAGCATGTAAAACTTAATACTAAAAATAGCACAAAATATGTTACAAACTATAATATGCTATTGTACAGTAATTGATTTTATGGGTAATATAATGTATACGTACGTTTTGTATCGAACCCCAAAATAAAATAAGGACATGGAAATTTGGCTACTTCGCCAGCCTTTGTCCGATTAATACACGTCCAGCCATCAAATTCTCCGGGACACCAGGCATTACTGTCAGATACTATAAAACAATAAAACATTTTAAAAACTATAAATTCAGCCCTGTTATAAGGTGCACATTATATATAATAGTTTTAAATTAAAAACCATTTAAATAAATGGAATAGACTATTTTATTCATTAACAAACTAAATCATTGTTTATTTTTCATATGTTTTTGTTTTTTATTTTATTAATAGCAAATTAATTTAACAAATTATTGTTTTTAATTTAAAAAACAACCTATAAAATTATTATTACCTAATATAAAATTATGATCAAACTTATTAAACTTATCCAGTATAATATGGTAATAGAATATTTAATAGGTTGTTGCATGAAAAACTAAATAAAAATATACAAACTTCCTAAATGCTATTTAAAGTTTCCAAATAATTAAATATTTTTTTTTATTTTTTTATATAGGTACTTAGCTCAATTATACATTTAAAAGATATTTCACTTTTAAGTCTACCCATATATATTTCTACATCCTTCTTTATTGTAAATCCTTCAGCAGTAATTTATGTACATTTATAATACGTTGTTTTTCTATTTTTTTTAACAAATATGATACATGATATATTAATACGAATAAGGTCACAATGTATGGATATCATAATATTAATATATATATTTTATTATGTTACAGATATATTTAACGATGTAAAAATCATAAAAAAAAAAAAAATGCAAAAGTTCAATATATGAATTTGTATGTATAATAAGGTTAATATTTATATTATAACGCAAGTACACACAGCTAATAAGTACCTCTGGTCCGTTGAAACCAAACAAATTCAAAATGCTAACCAACAAGTGTTATTAAAATAAGGAGATCCTAATGCTGCATAGATACATTCGTAAAATATATTTATATGAATAATTTTAATAACCGTATTAATAAGTAATAGCAATGTATAATAATAATTAACAACAAACGTGTTTCTTAAAAAATATCAAATGACTATTTGAGCTATTTAAAATTATTATTTTTCAGCAGTTATATTTTTTTCAATCTAATAAAATACTTAACATTTTTTCAATAAAATAAAATCTATTCAAATTATCTATATTGGATAGCTTTTTTCATGTCAGATAAATAATACACTTTCTAAAAACAGACATTTACCTTATAAATAATTAAATTGCCACAAATTAAAAAAAAAAAAATTACTATAAATCTCACAAATTACAAATATTCTTTCCTCGCCAGTGGACCTTTTTTAACACAGCATAATGCCTTTCTAAACCCATTCAACTGCATTTATAATGTGCTAACATTTACTACCTAAAATATAAAGATACTAATTAAAATTAAATGTCTCAACATTAACTTTATACAATATATTAATAAATATCTAATTTATATTTTCGAAATTTAGTGTAAGTAGTGAAAAATTTGTTAATCTTGATAATTTTAAACATTTTTTTTAAAGTATTTTGTATGATATTATAATTTATAAGTTACACTTATATATTAATATCTACTATAAAACATCAAACAGAAAATTAGTAAACACAAATTAGATTTTTTTAAAATAATAAAGTATACTATTATCCTTCCACTTCCGTGGTCTATCAAAATCATTGTAAAAACAGAATTATCTAGTAAAAAAAAAAAAAAAAAAATTGAAACTGCTCCAGAAAATTTCAAATAAACCAAATATAGCAGTTATACTTGATAAAAAACTTGTATTACATAATCTACAGAAAAAAAAATTCTCAATATGTATAGCTGAATGCTAAATCCATCGTTATTTTAACTGTTTTTAAACCCTTAGAAATTTTTAAATGCGGAGCTATTTAGTAATATGGTAATATGTATATATATCATTACTCAAACAAATTATCACCAGTCAATATTAAAACGTCATGTATTAGTATTTATATTATCATAAGTTATTAAAGATATATGATTCCTTGATAACGCAGAAAATATTTAATAGATTTCAATTATATTAATGTGCCATAAACTATAGATTTTCTGAGGTTAAGTATGTTGTTCTAAAACGTTTTTCAATTATTAGTTAACTCAAAAAACTTTTTCCCTTACTCGTGCCAATCAAAAAATGATGAAATATTGACTAAGTGTTTACCTGGTGTTTACTAAGCCATTTTTCATAATTTACGATCCAAAATAAATTGAAAAAAATGTTATTTTCTGCGTCTACGATAACTTAAACTTTTTCCATCAATATGACATATTGAATAAATTAAACGCTTTGTATAGTTTTATATTTATAATTATTTAGTAAAAAATTAACATAGAATCCAAAAAATAATTGCATACAATATTTATTTAGTATTAAAAACAATTGTTATTAAAAATTGTGAATATTTAGGGTTGAATAAAGTTTTTTCATATTTTATATGCCTAAATCGTTTTATGATAACTAAAATTCATATAATTATAAATAAAATACGATTTTCTGATTACTCATGTATTATAATAATCTATGTACAATATAATATGATAATTGTATATAAATTACAGTAAACTAACATGAAATATCATTATTTAATGACTTTTTTTTAAATCATTAATTATATACTTGTTAAGTTGAAATAATTATAGTGACATACGCATTACGTCCACACATCGTTAATAATGAGTAGGTACGTATTCTAATGAAAACACTATATTATAATGATTGATTTAGGCATGCCAATTAAAAACGTACAATTTTCACAACAACTCACAACGCACTTCTATATACTTATGCTTAATATAACGACATAGTTTTAACGAATCTTAATAATAATCCGTAATTGCACGCCCCATTAATATATTATATTTGATGTTTAAACTTTAAGCTATATACGCACGGAATACGGCTATTTACATGACAACAACAGACTGTTGTTCTTGTTTCTGACTTTGAAGTTGATATCAGCAGACGGCGTAGGATAATTATAATGCTGTGTACCTACTGTTGTCGAAACAAACATTCGATGGGGCATATATGTGTGGGCGGGATTGTAGAACCTATTTTTCTATTGAATACGTTTAAAAGTCTATAATTTACACACACACACACACACACATATACATACACATACATATAGACTAGCGAGGTTTCTCCTAACGTAATTGCGAAATCGGTTCGGAACATTAGCTTAGTCGAAACGGTTGTTTTTAGTGTTTACCTGAGGAGTATTCGACGCGCAAAGTATACACCACCCTGAGGCTTAGTTTGTTCTGCACATACATTTAACGTCAACTGGATGTGTTGTGGTGGAGGGGGAGAGTAATCCGATATTCTCCCCGAATCGCGAATAGCCGAGACGGCAGCGCGCGAGAGGAGGCAAATAAGGCTTAATGTTATTGTTACTGAAGTGGGGCTGGTAATCCTAATTGCCTGAACGTATGGTGTATATGTAGTGTTTAGTGTGATAGAAATTCTATAATGGAATATGGATGGAGGCTATATAATCGGCACTGCCGCACTGAAAAAAAAATTGGAATCACGAAGTATGCACGTAAAAAACCGATGTCCAAAACTATTTAGAATTTTTCGAAAACTACAATAAAATGATTAGAATAGACATTTTTAAAATATCGTAAATGTCATCGGTGTTTTTCGTAAGTTTCTTCCATTGACCGAGTGAATCTGATCGACAATCGCCAATTACTTTCCAATTCTTCTTGATCGGACGCATGTAACCAGACGTGACTTAGCAGTCAGTCTCCGACAGATCCCATTTCTTTTTTTCTATCGACTTATCTAACCACCACTATTCCGTAAGTATTGCATTGAAATTGACATATTTATAATATGGTCGTGTAGTCAAACGATACCCGTTCGAATATATATTTACTCTCTTTTGCAATTCAGTCGCACACAAACATACAAGTCGATTGCGCACACGAGTTTTTAATACCTGTGTTTAAGTGACTCAAACGTAGAATTCGTTTGTGTATATAAACTATACCAAGAATCTTCCAAAACTTAAAAAGCCTTACGTCCTTAAATTATCATGTTTAAATGCTTTCTAAGATCGTTTTCATACATTTTCCTTCTCATATAAAGTAAAATGACTTTAAAACACTAAAGTAGGCAACTCAAAATGTAGTAGAATTATCATCGAAAAAAATTGTAAATTGATTATACTCAATTGAATTAATTACGTATATCTTATTGAAATGTTTAAGATAACTCTATCATTATATTGCATAAGGTATTGTAAGTAATAATATTAGTTTAAATTAAGAATGAAATTTAATAGTTGTGCGTTGCAAACGAGTCATTTTACAGATAAAAATTTGTATTATTGGATTTTCACGTTTTTTTGTTGTACACAAATGAATTGTCAGTTTACAGGTACGCGAATAAATATTACTGGTGTAACCGTGTTGTTCAACCAAACCAATAATTGATTCTTTGATAATTAATTTAACTATGTTAACCTAAACTCGGCAGTATCCCTCTGTGCACTGTATAATATACGACAAGTAATTATTCGGTTACAATGAAAATAATCGATAGTCCTCTTTAAACATCGATTATCTTTATTTAAACAAATATAATAAAATATATTATAATATTATATACTTAGGACAGGTTATATATTTCAGACATGAGCACTCCTAACGTTGGCATTAATCGTTTTTAACTGTTTAACTATAACTTTTAGAATAGACAAAATTATGTACATATAATCGCTAAAATCGTTTCAAACATAAATACTACAGCCGATAAAAACAGAAATACTAACACACATTAGAGTGGTGAAGTTTATTTTTGTATATAATCATAACATTTTGAACTATATTGGTATTAGCTTAGTTTGTACAAAACTGCAGAATATCAGAAAATGTTTGCTAAATATGTATAACTTACGCTGTTTATTATTATCCATATATATGCGTGAAAAAATTATTTGGCGTTTTATTAAGACGCATAGCAGATGTTGTATAGTATATTATAATTTGAAACGATTAAATTATATTATTATAATCTATAAATAAATATTAAATGTTATGTTTTAATATGGTTGTACTTTTAATCAATTGATTAC